GAGAGAGAGAGAGAGAGAGAGAGAGAGAGAGAGAGAGAGAGAGAGAGAGAGTGAGAGTTTTCCATCAATAGGAGGCGGGGTGTTGGGGAGTGTTGGGTAGGGTCCATAGGGGTGCAGCCGCTGCAGCGGAGGGGTGTTGATGGTTGTAGGGGAGGGATGTTCAGGGGTGTAGGGGCATAAAGGAGTGTTTTCGTTTTTTTTTTTGTCGTTTTTTTATTGGGGGGGCTTAGTCCTCATCACTCGTGCGTTTTTGAAAGTGGGCTAGACGGGGAGAAAAAGAGGTAGAATGGGGTTAGAGCGGGGGTAGGGGGTGTTAGAGTGGAACTCTAACGGCGCCCTACCTCGCTGTACCCGTTCTAGCTTCCGACAGACACTCAGAATACCACCAACTCGGGACATACCACCAACTCCGCAGACACTCTAACGACACCCTACCCCGCTCTACCCCACCTGGGCCCACCACACGCCGGCCAGGTGTGGCCTCATGGCTCCCACCGCCTATTCCGATTAAGCACCGGTGGTTTACGCCCAGCAATGGGTATTCTCATTTGACTTCGGACAATGTAGCCACACAGGCCCACACTACGCCCGGTACGCCGGACCCTTAGGCTACTGTACTGTCCAGCTCTTCTCATGTGGTTCCTACTTCTTGTGACAAAATTCCTCCCCTCCACAGCCATGTATACTGTCAACTTGTGTTAAGTAAGAAATAATGACAACATTTGAGATAATGGTGGTGATGAACATGATTCATGTTAAAAATAAAATAAAAAAACATGACTCATGATGATGATGAGAATGATGATCATGCCTACAATGATGATGATCATGACGATGACCTCAATTCGAAGCATAGCGTCAGGGAAAATGTCGCCTCAGAGCCTTTCAAAGAGCTCGTCTGGCCTGGGGAAAAAAGGCATGAGAGGCCCATACGGGAACCAATTGCCTCCCCCGTAAGAGGTCCTGTTGGCCTTGCCGATAAAAGCACAGACATCTGAGATGATGTATTTTAGGTGCCAGTTAAAGTTGCCAGTGCCTCTGTGGAATGGTGGTGCAAAATTTCTTTCTTTTCAAAAAGAAAAAGAAAAAGGGTGCTGTCTTTCGGGTGTGATCATAGAATTGACCGGCCCCAGGTAATTCAGAGTAGTTTAATTTCAGTCCTCTGGTTCCCGTGAATTTGAATTGAGGTCTGTATTTCACACAACATCCGCGAATGGCCACTGATCCTGGCTGATAAGGTGCAGGCAGTAGGGTCGAGCAGCCTGAAGGAGGTGGTCTGGAGTATGGAGGAATCCATACGCTGTTGGCGGTGTAGTGCGCTGCGAGATGTAACCTTCAAATACGTTCTCTTTGATTTTTCAAGTCTAGTAGGGTCGAGAAAGGGAGACGGCACGCAGTCGACATCTGCTGAGCCGATGTCGGCTGACTACAACGATCGGCAATGGTACAAAATGGGACACAAGGGACAAGGAGCAATGACTCCAAGGTTTTGGTAGACCACATATCTGGTCAGTGAATCCCTTACCGTGCCCAAAGCAGTTGACGACAAGACAGATGACATTCGCATCGGGGACAAGACAAATATGATGACCGGAGCGAGTAGGCTTGCCCAAGTACATGGAATACCGAACAAACGTTTTTTGCCCAGGAGCCGTAGTTGGTTTTGATTATTTCTTTACCTTTATTTTATTTTAGAGGTGAGTACGTCATTCATGCCACCTTTGAGTATCGAAGGGGGGAAAAAGACACGTGTCGGCAAAGAGAACCGTGCTGAGTTCGAAAAGGCGTCTGAAGTTCCGACGGCCGTGGTGCCCGACCGGGTGTCATATTTACACGGGGCGCCCGTGGTGTCAGAGGGGCAAACAAAAAAAAAAAAGCCCAACGGATCCTTTTGGACCGAAAGCCGGCGCGGTTTTTGTTTGCCTTCGAAACTACACGCAGGCAGACCCAACCTCTACGATGCGGTTTTCCAAGACAGAGCGATTTTTCTCGGGAGTTTGTGAAGCATGTTGAGCGTTTTCGGAGCTTTGGTCTGAGCTGGGCGATGCTACCTCTTGATCGGTGGTATTATACCTGGAGCGGCGGAATTTCATGTCAATTGCCTCCGCTTTTCGTTCATCTCGTATTTTCCGGGTGCTGGAGAGGCATGGTGGTGTTGTTCGGCCCTGATGGCTGTTACTTCACGAATGGATCGTAATTTTCATTTTCATTGTCTTTTGTATCTGCCTCCTTGGTCAGCATGTGCGTGGATCTTTCTAGTTCTTGTACCGCCGGTACTATTTGTATCTTGTTTAGCTGATGTTGATCGTATTCAATTTAATTTATTGTCGATCCTTGTTTAGCCGACTTGGATCATATCCAATTTGGAACTTGTTTAGCTGACGTTGAGGATCCTTCTAGTTATTTGGACTCGTTCAGCTGACGTTAATCGTATCCAGTTATTGAGGACGAGCGTGGATCATTGGGGAGTGGAGCGATACTTTCTTCATCTCTGAGGTTGCCTACCGAGCGCTGCATCGTGCTGGAGTACAAGGCGAGAACCCGTATTCCGGAATGGGGCGGTCACGATCCAGGTCTAGATCCGGGTCGTCGGACCAACGGCGTGCGAGAGATGATTCAAGGAGGGGAAGGTCTCGGGC